CACAGTAGACACGAGAATTTGTCTGGAAATTCAGCAAAAAATTTACTCTTGTTTTGGTTTGTCTTTATAGGCGACAGGTTATGGACGTTATGTGAATAACCAACCATTTATTAGTCTGAAATAAAATGAAAAAGTTAAAGAATCTGAGTTGATACTGTTAAGATATAAAAAAAATAATAATCTGTTAATCTTTTCTTTTAGCTGGATTAATAAATTTATATTACGAGTTGTGAGAGGTCTTGGTTGTTCCAATGGAAAGTTTTAGTTGCTTAAGAACATTTTCTTAAGTATGTTTGATGTTAACGGACTGCGTCGAGGAAGATGAAAAGGAACTGATCGATAAGTCGTCTTCTAACTAAACCTTTCTCAATGGAATCCAATTGAAAAGGAACGACAGCTCGACAGTATGACGTTCTCATGTTGCTCGTGGTACAAGAAAGTAAAACAACTTATTTATGTCCCAAGATAGACGCATACCATATGTACAATTATATGTACTGATGATCGATAATCAGCTGTCACTCCTTGTTGAGTAGGACGGCGACTTCTTGATGTTCTTCTAAGCCTGAAGACTTATGGAAATTCTCTGGTCCTCTGTTTCATTCTAAGAGAGGCCAAGTTAATAACATTGTTTTGCAAGAAAATAATGACTTTATCACAAATAAGTCCCTTACTGCTAAACTATTTACTGATCATTTTGTTAATATTTGTGAGGATTTTCCTCTACCTAGTAAGGAAGATTATGACATAGGTTTTTTGAATCATCCAAGCATCCTCACTATTAATAATTTTATGCTCAATGACTGACACACATGGCGGCGCCAGGCCGTTCGGTGTTGAGCATCCTTCTCTCATGTTAAGATACTGATGTGCAGGCCTCCAGGTGCCGTTTTAGGCATTCTTTGACACACAGCTTGGGCCGACCAACTCTCCTCTTCCCCTCTTTGAGCTCGCCATAAAAGACTCAACGGACTTTGCAAGTCCGCCTGAGCACTTTTTTTCGTGCGCAGGATCAAAGCAGGAAATCCTGAGTAGGAAAGATGGGCTCATCTTGCCCGCTCAGATGGCCAATCAGAACACAGGATTCGCTTCATATTGCCCTCGGGCCCTGTCAGCCATCTGATAATCGAATAATCTCAAATACTGATTATGTTGCTGCTCGCGAGCGTAATACGGGCAACTGCAACAATCACAAACAGTAAAATGAAGGTCATACGCATAGGTTTTTGTAAAACAGGCACTAAAACTCTGACTACAGCTTGAAGAATCCTAGGCTATACCGTGTATGATTACTTTAAAAAACGAGATTTCCTATCGGTGAATGGCTCGCTATCTACGGCGAAGGTAAAGAACCTGACTTACCACCATGTATAAAGATGTCGATGCCGCAACAGACCTCCCAGCTGCAACTTGGTTTCAGGAAATCTGGTTCAAGATAGCTTTTCCTGATGCAAAAGTCATTCTTTTTTTGCGATACAACGAAGAAATCTGGGTGAAGAGCGGCTTTGGGAACCAAGTTGAAATATTGAATACTTTGGGCGGATTTCTGAACAGAATAGCTGAATTCTGTGGCTGGAAACAATTCTTGGTATGATGTGCACCCCGATCGGCACATTAAGAAAAGCAAAAGGCGCTTTTAAAGAGGGGTTCCTCATTGAAACCATGTATAGAGCCAGGTTTGGGACCAACCTCAATTACAAAGCAACGTCACTTTTTAGGAAGATAAGAGAGTGTGCAAGCAGTTATCCCGAAGGAGAGGTTGTTGATCTACAACGTGAAACAAAGCTGGAAACCTTTGTGCGAGTTCCTTAGATCTGACATACCCGAGGAGGATTTTCTAAGAGAGAATGTCGCTTTATCTACTCACTCATCGTGAACTTTCAGCACTACTTGGAACGGTTAAAGGCCGTTCATACATTGTGTTGGCGATGTGTACCCTTCTCACAAGTCTGCTTTTCTACACTTTGTGCTAGAAGACTATACAATATGTTTTGTTATTAATGATTTACTTGCCATACTAACTATCCTGTCGCGTAGTGTGAGTGATAGCGATTAACTAGTGATTTGTATCGCAGTTATCAAAGAAAAAACTGGAAAAATTTTTTAGCAGGTGCGTCGGAATGCGAAGTGCCACGATGGCTTTTTAGCTGAAGTACCAAATAGAGTAAAAGTAGATGGATCAAGAGCGTGGCTTTGATAAGGAGTCGGTTGAACTTTTGAACCTGGTGTCACTATTTCAGTTAAGCACCATAAGACTAGGGTTTGTAGAACATAGTATTGCTGCGGCACATGAGTGTTGATAGTGAGAGTTAACGCAGTGATTTATCTACTGACCTGCGTTACATAGCTTACTACTGTAAGGACATTTCCGCCTTGTACTCAATCGTGCTGGGGAGTAAATCTACTTTCCTTAATGAAAGCAAATTAACTAATCGCAATTATTGTTTAGTAAATCTATTATCTTGATCATGCAAACTAAGTTGAAATTGTAAATTCGCCACCGTAACGAATAAAAATGCTGACGTTTCGAGCGTTAGCCCTTCGTCAGAGCGAATCACTGAGTGAAGGAGAGTTGAATTAAAGCAATGAAAGGAGCCACTTGATTAATACATAACTCTACCTTGCGTAAGTTGACACGCCGGTAAGCTGGAAAGCAAAGGGCAGTCCATTGTTAAGAGTTGTCATAGGCCTGTGCGACTCCAACCATTCACTAGGCTTCTGCCCTCAAAGTTGAGCTCTTATATGGATATCTCTTAGTGACTTTCCTTTGCGATGTGATGACGTTAATTTCCCACGCACGAGATTACTCAGTGAGTGGTGGATGTCCTCCCCTGGGTGGGATNGAATATCATTTGAAGTGAAAAGGGTGCTCTTCGTTCTTAGTTCTGGAAACACCCCACGATTTGATACTACTTCAAGAAATAAAGATTAATGTAAGTCTTGGAACGCGCAGGGAGATAACTCACTATACGTAACCTATGTCACTATCAACAGAATGTGCTGCAGCAATACCATCTTTTTGTTGCCCTAGTTTTGTATGAGGTACAGACCCGCAAAACACTTTGGCCAAAAGTGGCGCAGTGCACTCTGGTTACTGTGCAGCTAGTAATTTAAAGGACTAGTTCGAAAGCATCGTGGTTCCCCTATCCTCCAGGCTGCAACAATGCTTACCTATGCTTCTTTAATTCCGCGTGTTAATTGGAAATAAATTTTTATCTTAGTGCCATTCCATTTTTAAAGACTTTTGTTTTAGTATATTCCGTCATTCTGTGTCTTAAGACATTCAGCCATTCCGCCGATCCACCGTTCGTCCCTTCCATCATTCTGCGGTGATAACTCAAGGTATTAACCGATGGCCAGCAATATAAAAAAATTAACATGAAAAACAGCTGTTTAAACAATAATAACAAAAACTCTAACAAAGAACTAAGCATTGATCTTACCAATATGATTGGCCTTATCCTTAATCATTAAGTAGGTAAAAGTTCTGACCTTAAACTGTGCAAGTGATTTCAGCTCACGTAACCCCCTTGGCAATTTGTTCCAGGCACTCCCAGCCGAGAACTTGAAAGAAGTCTGACCACATTTGGTCTTAACATGTAGTAGATCTAATAATGTCGAGTCTCTAAGGGATCGACCATGTCTTTGAGATCGTTTTACTAAATAGCCCGTCAGTTGCTTAGGGTAGTTTATATCATTAATAATCTTGTATACATACTGTAACTTGATAAAAAGGCGTCTACCATAAAGTGATAATAAAAACAATTTAGTGCGAATCTTTTGAGTACACGTCTTCCGGTCAGCATGTAATATTATTCGCATTGCCCGATTTTGAAGGCGTTCTAAGCATTGGATGTTCTCCTTGCTGCATTCACCCCATATGACGCATCCATAATCTAGTATGGGTAGCACAGTCTGTTTGTAGGTTCTGAGTAAAATATCGCGACTAAGAAAAGACGATATTCTGTTCAGCAGTTCCAATTTGGAGTATACCCTTGATGGTATATAGGTTACATGTTTGCTCCATGTCAGACAATAATGGTCGATGTAAATTCTTAAGTACCTAAAGTTATCTAATTGTTTCCTTGGTTTGCCGTCGAGGATAATCTGTAACGGTCGGATGTTTTAACAGCGTACTTGGATCCAATCAACATTGCCTCGCATTTCTTGTGATTACTGATTAACCCGTTCTGGTTACACCAGGAGACAATATTAGCTAGGTCTTTGTTGACACGATTTTCCGCAACACTGATGTCTTTCGCGCTGGCTCTCTTTTCAAAGAAAAAAATTTCCTCAACGCTTACATGATGTACAGATCACGTCTATTGAGATGTTTTTGCGAGGAAAAGTTTTGATTTCAATTCTGCGCCGGTGGGTGCTGCTGTAAAATTATTTTGAAAAGTTCAACGTCTTTTGTAGTGTAAAGATTATATCGTCAGATCAACATAATTTGCTGATTAAACGGTAAAATGCTCTCTCTTCAACTAAAAATAACTTTCTCTTAAGTTTTATATTGCATCGATGACACCTATTTACGATATTTCTGCAAGGAAAACTTGTGGTTTAAATCGCGCACAATTCTGAAATGATTGTGAGATGTTATCGCTTTCTGCTGACAGCCATAGTGTGATGGCGAGAACTGAAAACATAATGTGCTAATGGCTTTAATCCAGAAATCACAAAAAGAAAGAACTCAGCTGTGTAACGAGTGCGAATGTTGAACCACTAAGATACTCCGAAAAAAAAAAAAAACAAGAAACAATAAGTAGCATTGGGAAACATCGGGTCAAAATTGGTCAAGATCGCAATTCTATCGTTACACTCACACACTCACTCACTCATCTCATCCCCTGTAGGAGGCAGTAGCCACAAAAATGGACCGTTGTGTACAAACCAAAGTAAAGAGCCTAGTGTTAGAGAAGATTCTTTATTAATCTTGTAACACAATATACCCACACTGGTATTTTACGTTCAGGACGTTCAAATGTTTGGCAGGACACCTGCTGAATTCTGTTGTAAAGCCGAGTCTTCTCTTCATGAAGTGCTTCGCTGAGTTCTTGGTCAGCTGTAACTATGGCAACCTGAGCCTCCAGATCCCGATATACTGAACGATGTCCAAAATTTGGAGAACCAATCAGGGTTAAGCTTGGTAGAGGCTCCTTTGGAGGATAGAACCATAGTCCTTTCACGTGAAATGTCCACTTGGCACGCACATACTCTTGCACTGAGATGTTATCACTTTGCTTGTGTTCCAAAATTTGCTCGTAAAAATCACGAGCTAATAGAGTGTAAGCATGAGGTATACCACCTGATAGAGAAATAAGTTGGCGGTTACTACACTGACTGCAAGCAAGTTTAGGTCAGAAAATTTTAGAAGATTTTGAAATTACCAGGAGGCAGAACCTCATAACTATACAATTTTTCTTGTTATTTGGCATTAGGTATGGATAGCTGTAGATATGTCACGAATTTAAGAAAACATATAAAGTTTTTAAAAACATGTTTTGACAGTTCTTCTGTCATCTTGAGTTCTAATTTATACAAAGTACAATGTTGAATTTAAAGTGTACAACAAAAATACTAATGGGACAAAACAACAATAGAAACTAAACAATAGATGCAATTACAAGGAAAGGTTTGAGTCAACATGATAAAATTGATGATTAAGTGTAGGTTGCCCTTATTGAATGAGAAAAGCTTCTTTGATGTTAAGTTGGAGAGTTGTGCCTGAGCACTTGGTCTGTTAAAGGTCCTCTCATATTTTCAGACATTTACAAAATTCTCAACAACAATTGCACTGTGTTCTGATGAATGTTTTAGCATATTAGATCACACTTTCATAATTCTACAACTTAAACATTCAATGGGAGCAACCTATCAACTTTATCACGTTGATTTAAAACTTTTATTTGGCATTATTCCTAATAATTTTCAGAGACTACTAAAAAAAAAAGCACTAAAATTAACGCKWTTRCCCATAGTWWWAAAYSSKC